TCTTGAACTTCGTCACGGAGTGATCCAAAGTGCTACCAACCCAGGCAACAACAGAGTTAGTGGTAGGTGAGCAAATATCGTTAGGTGCTATTCGCATCCTTTAGAGAGAACGTTACAGGACAGCACAAAATTAGCATCCACTAAAAAGGTTTTAACCCTAATACTACACCCTATGCCCTCCTTTCAAGAGCACGTGACTGCTCTTTCACCACCTGTGAAGCCTCATGCTAAGAGGCTTCCTGCCTGCAAGAAACTCACCATCTAGAGTATTCCTCCAAGTCCTTCCCAGGGCAGACAAAACCAGAGAACAGATCTGAGCTGCAGCCCAGATTCTACTTGACGTCAGTCAGCCAGATGGAACTTGAGAAACCAGAACCCCCTCTTGAGCACGGTGACGTTTGGTTTACCTTCTGCTACTGATCATGCACTCCAAGAGCAGAACACTTAAACCTGGCCTATGACCATCACGAGACTGCTTAGTCTGTTGAAGGTTCTTAAGGCAAAACGTTATTGATGATAAACAGAACATCTCGAGACAATCCCGCATACTTTCTTTGTCAGCTCCTATTCTTTTCCCTCTAGATAACTCCCATGCCTTAAATTAATACAATTGGCCCTCCCTGGTGGCACAGCGGGTTAAAGCACAGCACTGAGAAGCTAAAGCCACTTCCGCATGAGTTTGATCCCCGCCTGCCCTGGAGGTGACCACATGGCACGGCAGACCTCTCCTGACCCGCCCACTGCTCCCCTCAGCAGTGTACTTCGTTCATCTGCCTGTTCTGCTCCCCACTCTGTCTCTGGTGAAGCCTCTTGCTACTCCTGAACCTCTGGCCTGTACCCCAGTTCTGAATGCACAAATAAATAAATCTTTAAAAAAATTTAATTAATACAATTCACCCTAAATGAAAGTCTTGTTCCACATGCCTTAAAATGATCTATGTGTGTATGCATGTTTAATTTTTTTAAATCCTCCCAATTCCATTCCTCTGTCTGGAGACACGGTTCCAGATGGAAAGGATTTTCATTTCGTTGTGGCCTGATGTAAATAAAAATGCTTTCCCTATTCTATAAAACAAGAGCTGGGCACCGCGGCTTTTTTAACCACATAAATAGCAGATTTGGATTATGGGGGCAGGGGGGTAAGAACTACTGTATACAGAATGGGAAAATACGAGAACTTCATATTCTAAATAGAATGCTTTAAGTAGGAAAAACCCACAGCTATTTTTCCAGTCAATGTTATTCTCTTATTTCTTTTCTCTAGATAAGACACAGCTGAATTCCTCTAGGCAGCAAAATCACTGCCTGCAGAATTTGGCCGTGAGTCAATTTGAGATCCGCTCAAAATGAGCCACCACCTCCCAACCCATCCTGGTCTGAGGGTGTCTTGCTGGTGTCCGTGCCATTGAATGCCCCCACCTTGCTGCAGGCAGCTTCTGCAGCTGTTCCCATCAGGCTGTGCAAAAACCGAAAACCAACAGGTGGTTTACGCTGTCTCTGGTGCACTCTTGGAGGTTTGAAGGGAGAAGAAAAGAGCTGACATGTTAGTGCCCTTCTCGCTACGCACGTACATCACCATCATCACCAGCCCCGTCTGTAGTGTCCCTATTACCAGAGACGCTGTGCTAGGTGCTTCGCATGCATTAATTTCTAATGATTCCACAGCCCTTCAGAGTATTAACATTGCTTTCCACATTCATAAAATGGGAAAATTGAGAGCGATAAACATTCACTAATTAGTCACAGGCACCCAGTTGATAACTGACATAGATAGGGCTTGGGCCAGATAGATTTGCCTCCCGAGTCTAGGCCTAAACTGGTTCTCTGTTTTGAAAGTTAAATTTCTTGAACTTTGTCACGGAGTGATCCAAAGTGCTACCAACCCAGGCAACAACAGAGTTAGCGGTAGGTGAGCAAATATCGTTAGGTGCTATTCGCCTCCTTTAGAGAGAACGTTACAGGACAGCACAAAATTAGCATCCACACACTTGGCCTCCAGTTGAAGATGCAGTGATGTATTTCTAGGCTCAATATGAAAAGAGCGTCCCCAGACTGCTCCCGAGAGTCAGTACAGAATGAAACGCAGTTGGATGGCAGATGAAAGCTGCGTCCTCCCCTAACTCAACCATCCGTAATAGATTTCACTGATTCATTACAAGCCCAAGAACCGGTTCCACCAAACGGAGAGAGACACTGCTGCAAAGAGTAATATCAGCAATGAAATTCCATCTTGACACCTGAAACATAAGCAGAGTCTCCCAGAATGAAACTGCTGAACTGCAAAGGGGCTTGAGCCCAGCAAGTCTGTATATCCTGCAGCATAGAGGCCAGAGTCTACTTATTAATCACTTCCTCAGCTTCCTCACAACTTGGAGTATCCTAAAATTTTTGCCTGGAAATTTTTGTCCTAAGTTTTTTTTGTTTTTTTTTTATGGTAAAATGTTTAGGGCTGTTCATTTTATTTTAAGTGGGAAGGCTGGGTTCTTCCTTATTAAACTGACTCCCATTGCTTTGTTACAATCATGTTCAATGCTTGTTAGTCTCTGTAGGCAGATGTTATAAACATATAAGTGTAAAAAAAAAAAAAACTCTTCCTGTTTGAAAGGAGATCAGGAGATCATAAGTTTGGGCCAAAATAAAATGCAGGTAGTTCTGACATCTGTCGGTAGCCATAATGACATGTTGGTGCTTTTTCTCCCCAGCTCCATTCAGACATGGACAGGGGGGATGGATCCATCAAGTACATCCTCTCTGGAGAAGGTGCAGGGGTCGTGTTTACCATCGATGACACCACTGGAGACATCCACGCCATTCAGAGGCTTGACCGGGAGGAAAGGGCCCAGTACACTTTGCGGGCTCAAGCCCTAGACAGGCGGACAGGCAGGCCGATGGAGCCGGAGTCCGAGTTCATCATCAAAATCCAAGACATCAACGACAATGAGCCCAAGTTCCTGGACGGACCTTATGTCGCCACTGTGCCAGAAATGTCACCTGTGGGTAAGGCAGAGCCCTGCTGATTCCCACAAACAGCGTTCCTTCTAGAGAAGGGCTGCCCACGTATTCACAGAGAAGGAGGGTATGTGCAGAAGAGCTCACAAATTATGAAATGGAGCCAAAACTGATAACCAAGTCCTGAGCAGGGTCTGATTTAGACACTGGAATGGAACGGTAATGATGATAATAGCAGTAACACACCTGGTGTTGCTCTTCAGTTCTGACTTTTAAAATACAAAAAAAATAGATGATAGGTGGATGGATGGGTGGTGGGTGGGTGAATGGGTGGGTGGATGATGTTGGATTCATAAAGAAGTATTTTGGTTTTATCAAAAGAACACTGAGGAACTCAAAGACGGGGCCGTCTTTGCTGGTTAGTAAGACCCTGAAACACAAACTCCCACCCCTACCAAAAAGTCACAGCCCCTGGGAGTCATGGCCCCTGGAACTGGAAGAGCGCCCTCCCAAGGAAGCAACTGTCACATGTGTGCATGGGACACAGCTGGCCAGTCAGGACTGCATCGAGCCTGGAACAATTCAGCTTGAACAGCTTTCTGCCATCTCTCTTCCTCAGGGACCTCTGTCATCCAGGTGACAGCCACGGATGCCGACGACCCAACCTATGGCAACAGCGCCCGGGTGGTATACAGCATCCTCCAAGGCCAGCCTTACTTTTCTGTGGACTCCAAAACAGGTATTTGATGCAACAGTCAAGTCAGAGGTATCTGCTTTATTCCCCACTAGTTATAATTGCTACTTAGGGTAGATCCAAGTCTCCTTTTCACACCAGGGCATAAGTAGCCAAAGACGGTAGTTGTAAGTGACGGAGACAATAAGCCAGGTCCGCCCCAGTGAGTAAGAGGGTAAGTGCTGTTAGATGGTGTACAGGCCAACGGGGCTGTCTGCACACTAATCCTCAGACATCGCTGTGATTGTATTTATTCCAAGGGATAAAGTCTTTTCACAGAGACTGGCAAAGACTGACACGTTAAGGTGGGCTCACTATAGAAGCAGAATTATCGATTAAGAAACAAGAGAGAGGGCCCTCCCTGGTGGCACAGCGGGTTAAAGCACAGCACTAAGAAGTTTAAGCCACTTCTGCATGAGTTCGATCCCCGCCTGCCCCAGAGGTGACCACATGGCGTGGCAGACCTCTCCTGACCCGCCCGCCGCTCCCCTCAGCAGTGTACTTCGTCCATCTGCCTGTTCTGCTCCCCGCTCTGTCTCTGGTGAATCCTCTCACCCTCCGCATCTCTGGCCTGTACCACAGTTCTGTATGAATAAATAAATCTTAAAAAATAAAAAAAAGAAAGAAACAAGAGAGAGACTTAAGGGGACTGATCCAGGTCATGACCAGTCATTAGCACAGAAGGAAATCAGGGAGGGCATCCAGTCATAGATGTGTCTCCTGCCATGGGGCCTGTGTCCTTCCACTGAACCACCCACACTTAGCAGAGCACAGGTCACATGAGCAGCTGCTGGGACAGCAGGTGTTGGCCAGGGGCAAAAGAGCACAGAACATGGGTGTGGCCTCCAAAATATGGGAGCCCAGATGGGAGCTCTGGAGGGGAAGACAGCATAGAGAACTGGCGGGGGAAGCAGCATCTGGCAGGAAAAGACAAACCAGGAACTTGGCTTTGGCATTTTTTGTTTTTATTTTCAGTTTCTCCCAAGAACTTTGATTTCAGCATGAACGTGTTTTATCTATGAAGAATTCCCTTTAATAGTTTGACGTGGGCAGAGTAACTCTTAGATCATTCTCTTGCACTGTGCCAGGTCCTCTCCCATTTAAAATACCTCCCTCAACATTCCCACATTAGTCTCCCAGAATCTCGGGAACTCATAAGCTATACGGATGTATTGGAGATTCCATTTATATAGAGGAGAACTGAGAACTTACCAATAGATAACAGGGATCCTAAATAAAGAAACTTACAAGGAGGAAAGTCAACAGTGAAGGATCAAAGTCACCTCTTTATTTGAAAGCAAAGAAATACATTTCTATTAGCAACTGGAGAGAATTTTTCCAGAAGTCCTAAGGGAAACCAGACTTTCAGAAAATTAAATCATAAAAATCGAAAGCAAGGGAGTATAAATTAGCAGGAGGAAAGAAAGGAGATTGCAATTCTCCTGTAAAACAGTAACTTTAACCACTCTACAGATGGGGAGAGGGGGGTCGGGGGGAGCCCACAGGGAGGAAAAGTACAGACAAGAAGAGGGGAATGTGTCCTTTATAGCCAAAAAGAAACCTTACATTATTTTGACAGCTCCCAGGGGGTCATCTTCAGTGTTAAGGTCAAAAATACATGAAAAGATAGCTATCGCTCCCTCCAGAGGGCGTTTAAAAGGAAATTCTGCGTGTTTCACTTTATCCTCACTATAGGCAACATACACTTACAGGAGTCAACTGAAGACCCTCGGTGGTGTCTTCACCACCGGTGGTGTCTTCACCATAAAAAGGGGGGAGGTTTAACTCCCCCCTTTTTATCCAGAGGCCTTTTTAGCCAGGGGTCTCTTATAAACTTGCAGTAACCTGGCCTTTCATCTTTGCTTAAAAGAACCAAACTTTTCTAAGTTGAAGGGTTAAAAGGGAGATGGCCGCACATCCTTGGCAGGATCAAAACAACACATTTCCGTGGAATTTGATTCCCACCCTCTTCTGAAATGAAACCGTATCACATCGCGATGCTACTGTTTACTGTCTGGGGAAGGTCACCCCTTCTGCTCGTTACAAATAAGCAAGGCACAGCGCATCTCTCCCATGCTCGCTCACAGAATTCAGCGAAGCACAGAAATAAGCAGAACACAACAAAACAGAATGAATATGTAACAATAGGCGATGAAATCAGAATCCCAGCGCAGCTCACAGGTATTGAGGAAGCAGGGAAGGCAGGCGTAAGTTGCTTAAAGAAGAAGCTGTCACACTACGAGGGCTCTAGGGGGCTGCGGAAAGAAAGAGCTGAAGGAGAATTATCTAAAATCACAGATTTGTGGACCTGTGAAGCTTTGTTTTCGGGGCCCAACGCCCCCGTTTTCTTTAGCGAGCTGGAGCCGGCGGGCAAGGCGCGGACGCCCGCCACTCTGCGGGAGGACCATGCCGCCACCTCCCGGTTGCTCTCGGTAATGCAGCCGGAGCCCACGGGCCGGCAAGCTCTCGGGCCCCTAGCTGCAGCTTCTCCGCCTTTTTGAAGCTAGATTCTAATCTCCAGTTTGCTGAAACACAGGCGATTGCACCTCACCCCAACGGCTAAAAAATGCGCAAGGGAGGGGTGGGCCCTCCGGGTTAAAGCACAGCACTAAAAAGCTAAAGCCACATCAGTATGAGTTCGATCCCCACCCCAGAGGTGACCCACATGGCCCGCTGCTCCCCTCAGCAGTATACTTTGTAGATCTGACTATTCTGTCTCTGGTGAAGCCTCTCACAACCCCTGCCCCTCTGACCTGTACCCCAGTTCTGCATGCATAAATAAATACATTTTTTTAAATAATAATTAATTGATTTGTTAAAAGGCAGAAATTCTCAGGTTGCCTTAAAAAAAAAGCAAACTCCTGGGCCCTCCCTGGAGGTGCAGCGGGTTAAAGCACAGCACTAAGAAGCTAAAAGCCACTTCCGCATGAGTTCGATCCCCGCCTGCCCCAGAGGTGACCCACAGGGCGCGCAGACCTCTTCTGACCCGCCCGCTGCTCCCCTCAGCAGTGTACCTTGTAGATCTGACTGTTCTGTCTCTGGTGAAGCCTCTCACCACCCCTGCACCTCTGGCCTGTACCCCAGTTCTGTGTGCACAAATAAATCTTTTTTTAAAAAATGCGCAAGGGAGAGACATAAAATTCTATCTTAAAAAGTGCACTTGTGGTTTTGTTTTTAAAAACGTGTCCTGCAGGTGTGATCAGGACAGCGCTTATGAACATGGACCGAGAAGCCAAAGAATACTACGAAGTGATCATCCAGGCCAAGGACATGGGAGGCCAGCTGGGAGGCCTGGCAGGGACGACCACTGTCAACATCACCCTCTCCGACGTCAATGACAACCCGCCCCGCTTTCCCCAGAGTGAGTATCCCCATGAGAGGACAGAGCAAAGAGGCCAGGGAGGAAGGCCGGCTGAGCAACTCTTCTAAGTTCTGCTATTCGTGACCTGATCCGAGAGTTCCCATGCAGCTCACCCACTACCATTTCCCTCTAGCAGCAGATTTCCCAAAGTGTTTCTCTTTTTAGTGAGACCTCCCTAAGGAATCTTTCTTGTTTTTTCCCCCTGGATCACCAGTCTCTGCCTCTGCCCATGAAATTAAATAGTGCAGGATAACACTCTATTGGGTAGGACTGAACTTTAGAGAGTCACAAGCAACCGTAACATCTAAGACTTTTCTCACCTTGCACCAACACATGAGCTAATGTTTGCCCCCAGGAAAGAATATTGCCCCAGATGAGATGCCATGCAGGGACACACGACCAGAGTCCCTGCCCGGGAAGCATTTACAGCAGAGTATTCTGTCCTCAGCACAGGTTAACTAGGAAACAGCATTTGTTGTGTTGTTTGGTTAGTGTAGAATGAAACTATCACAGTAAGCTAACATGAAGGCTTCAGAGGAGAATGCCACTTCAACAGGGAACTGAAGAATATAAAGAAATGATATAGGCAGAAAAGAAGACATTCCAGAAAGGGAGGGCATTCATTCACTCAAAATATATTGTGTCCAGACAACAGCCCTGTGTGGGACATGGAGCAGATTGAAAACAAATGAAATCTTTGCTCTCCTAGGGCTCCCTGAATGTAAATTACTTTGTCCTCTATTATCTAATTAGTAATTTAGTTGTTCTAGAAATATAAATATCTTTATATTTATATATGTGTATTGTGTGTGTGTGTGTGTGAAAGAGAGAGAGAGAAGGTGGCACCTTTATGATCACAGGTTCCTAAATGGAGACCTGCTCTTTAATGTCTCAAATGTATGAGTCTAATGGGAGATGGGAGTCACTGAAGCTGTTGAGAGAGATAGGGGGAAAAAGTTGATTCGACAGCCATGTGTAGGATAGATGGACTGGGAGATAGACAGAAGGCAAGTCCATTAGGGAGCTTTTAGCACTGTCCAGATTTGAAATGATGGGACTTAAGGAAATGGCAGAAGGGTTAGAGTGGATACTTGAGAAAATGTGGATTTCTGCCCTAGTTCTTGACTAAGGGGACCAAAGCAGAAGATGGAGTCAATAACAAACGCTTCTGTCTAGGCAATGAGGAACAGGACTAGAAACAGAGGGAGCATGAGGGAACTAGAGGCAGGGAAGGAAGATGAAAAATTCCTATTTGAATATGAAGTAACAGTAGGACAGTCCAACTCAGTGTCCTTAAGGAAGGCAGAAATCTATAGCACTGACTGTGGAGTGGAGCCCAGGGGCAGAGAGGTGAAGCTGAACAGCAGCTCTCTAAAGGAGCAGTTGGAGAAGTGAGAGTAGCAGACACGATTCCAGGGGAAAGTCCTAACCAGGGAAGTCTGGATCCAACAGAAGAAAACTAAGCTCAAAAACAGAGTCAGGCCCAATTATCTGCTGAACAGTATATTCTGAGTCGGCCAGAGCAAGTGAACCCTGTCTATGAAAATATGGGAAGAGAATGCAAATAGTTTCTACAACTGGGGTGCACAAAGTCCTCGTGCCATGTCATGAACAAAAATGCCTGCTGCATAAGCCGTTCACACGTGGAGCAGGCAAATCCACTAGTAAGCTGATTCCACAGTAGAGAGTTCCATGGAACAGTCTGTGAAAGGCCACGTGATTGGCATCTGGTTGTCCTGCTGACCTGTGGGTCCATCTTTCTTACTTGGTGAATGACTCACATTGTGCCCACTGTAGCTGGACAAGCTTGGCCATCCTTGAGCTACCCTTTGGGAGCTTTGTAATTGGACACAAGTCTAGTGCTCATGAAGGCAAAGGAATAAAGTTACTGCAAAACTCCTAAGTATAGTGGAACCTTAAATAAAGTGGGTTCATTACAATGTTGAGGGAAAAAAATACCAATCGCAGCTGATGTTGAGCAGAGTGAAGGTTTGCAAGGACCTGCTGGATGTAGTTTCGCCAATGTTAGCATTTCGAAGCCGCTACTGCAGCAGTTAGGTGAGGACTTACTGCGTGTGCTTTTGGACATGGTGTAAGAAAAGTCCTATCACCCAAATGTGGCAGCTTCAGAATCACATAATGCAATAGAATGGTAACAGGTTTGGTCTTGCCCCGCAAGCCATTCGATAGCATACTTATCAAGCTGGCCTTTTGTTGAAAAACGTAGAAAATCGAGGCTACAGAGGAAGCATGTTTTATGTTATACAGAGACAAAATGGAAATGTCTTGAAAAGTAATCTCAGTCTTCATGCGTCCTCTTGAGCGAGCACTATTTTTGAACCTTTAACAATTTGTCTTTATCTAACCATTAAATCTTTCCCCATCTCTTTGCTAAAGCAAGGTCTAAGGGAGATCATTACTCCATAAGCTATCACTGGTAAACTTGTACATTACTAATCTTTTGAGTCTTCATTCTGGGAAATCTATCTTCCCTCTTTTCATAAATATTATCATAGTATTTATGGTAATCAACTGTGGGACGTCGACAAAATGATACCTACCATTTTATATTGAATGAGCTCACTTACCTTTCACTGAACCAAATATAGTGGAATATCAAGATCTCAGGCTATTTACTTTTATATCATGCATCACATGTAGAAGTTACATGTACATGTAGCTTAAACATAGAACACCTTTCCTGGTGAGGAGAAAATGTAGGCAGATACTTGGTTTTCCCAAAAGTTCTGCAAAAGCAACAACTTCCTAAGTGAATGGAAAGAGATCATGAAACCAAAGTTTCCGCCAGCTTACTACAGACAGCAGCAATTTTCTGGTTTGTATTTGCAAAGAACCAGCATCATTTCTCCTGTGCAAGCTATGGTGCTGTGAGCTGGCTAGGGGCTGTTAACCTCCCCAAACCTTTGTGAGACTCAAGCCCTCACATCCCAAGCCTCCCTGTAGCCTCCAAAGCATATTAGAATAAATGAGACCATGTACATACTGGAAATGTGGTTGTGCGATTTCTTTGTTATTTAGTCAGTCATATTGTGATATCGTAGTACTTACCCAAAAAAATGAAGAACTTAAAAAAGGTATCCCTAGGGAAGCAAGTTAGCAAAGATATAACTCTATGGTGATGAAAATACAGTAAATTTAATTGTGAATACAGGATCACCAAGTTGAAAGGAGACCATTACTAGCTCTGAACTGCTAACATACATGCTTGCTTGTAGAAGTCTATTCTGAGCCAGACAACAAGCAGCATCATGGGTCTGTCCATGCAGAGGCTGCGGGCTTAGTCCAAGGTACAGCGAGGACCTCACCAGGAGCTGGTGCCGTTTGCTTTCTGCGTCTCTTGCTCCTTCATAGACCACTGGTCACATGTGGGCAGGTGGTGTGAAAATGGACACTCAGCACACAGGCCGGGTCACGAAGGCAAATGCAGACATTTGAAGTGTGAGCAGAATATTTTGTGACCGCAGCAATTTTTTCTGTTTCGTAGACGATATTAACATTGGGGAGAGAGTTCTTTAGGAAAGATTGGAAAGCAAAACACTCCCTCCCACGTGCAGGGAGGTTCACTGAGGTGAGAAAGGGTTTCGCTTTTGCCCTGGCCGACCGTGGAGCTGTGATGAAGCTCCTTTGCCCTCCTCCTCACACATCCACACCGGCCATTGACCTACCTAACACCATTCGCTCAACTTCTTTGATCTTGCTTTTTGTCTGCGCCACTCAAGTTTTAATGTTGAGCCAGGAGGAAGATGTTTTGCACAGCATGCCTGATGTGACGTAGTACTGACAAGGCCCTTTCCACAGAGACAGATTACCAAGATCGCATGTCCTGATCTTTCTTCACAGAACATTACCAGATGAGCGTGCTGGAATCAGCCCCTGTCAGCTCCACGGTGGGGAGAGTGTTTGCCAAGGACTTGGACGAAGGCATTAACGCAGAGATGAAGTACACGATCGTGGATGGGGATGGTGCTGATGCCTTCGCCATTAACACGGACCCCAATTTCCAAGTTGGCATCATAACCGTGAAGAAGGTAATCCAAGCCCCTTGCCCGAATCATCTTAACGGCTGCTTGAATGCATACTAGCTGTGAGGGCTGTGGCACTGTTGACACAAATTGCTGCAGATACTCTGATAAATGCTCTATTAAAAGCAAATAACTCTTACTCCTTTGGTTTACCTGTAAACACTATAATTGTTTTAGAGAAAAGGTGCCAGGTGGTCATAAAAATATAATATATATAATGTCTCTACCTAGCTCTTAATCAGCCACTTAAAAACTGTTATAGCTTAATTCTATAATGGTGTTAATGACTTGATCAATATTTGCATTCAAAGAACAACTATTTTTTAACTATAATATACCGTAAGTAACAATAAAGCAAACCATAATATTATTTATGAATCAATAAATAACATGCAGAGGTATTTTAATTGCTGCTTGAAGTTTCAAATGCTAATTAGACTTGGAAAAGCTTTATCAAACTTAGCTGCCAAGTGATGTAATCACCTGAAACTCCTGTGCTTCGTAAGTCACCAAATTTCCAGAAAAATGTGTTATGGCTGAAAACACATATGGATATACTCAGCTGGAAGGTAAAATACCTCTTAAAATTCATGTTTTGACATCCTAATAAATAGATATCTGATGAAATACATTAATTCAAAAATGTACTGTTCCAATCTTCTTTCTCTATTTTAAATATATTTTAAAAATCCAAGATGCATGTAAATTTTTCACTCAACAAATATTTGTCAGGTCCTGTTCCAGGCATTTAAGGTAGAGTAAATAAAGCAACCTCGCAGAAGAAAATGACATTTATGCAAAAACTTAAAGTGGGCAGAGTCACTACACTGCATCAGGCCAACACAGAGGACGGTGCCCAGGAAATGACTCTCAGTGAGACCCATACAGGCACTCTGGAGACCAGGGGATGGGCATGGACATACTGAGGAAGTGTTCCACACACACGGACAGCAGTGCAAAGTGAGGCTCCGTCTGCTTTATCTCAAGCTCAGTAGTAGTAGGGTTGTCGAGGCTGAGGGAGGGGAACACTAATAGGAGATGGAAAAAGGGGGCCAAATTGTGCAGGACCGTGTAGGCTGATGTAAAGATTTGGGGGTTTACTCCGAGTAAAGAGGAGAATAACTACAGGACTTCCACAGATGCATGGCATGACTCGACTTGCCCTAAGTGGGCAAGGACCCACGGAAAGGTTATTGCAATAATCTAGGTAAGAGGGGTGGTGGCAAGGGCTAAGGCAGTGGGAATAGAGCAGAAGAGGTCAGAACCTGAACATATTTTGAAAGTAGGACTAATAGTATTTCCTCATCAGTTAGATGAGGATAGAAAAAGAGAGGCTTCATGGAGCAGCAAGAAGAGTAGAGTTGCTACTAATTGCGGTGAGGGAAATCTGCAAGTAGAGCAGGTGGCAAATATTGGGGTTCAGCTTTGGACCTATTATGTTTGCAATGTCTCTGAGGCATCCAAGTGGAAATAAATGTGTGACAGCTGCTGGTTATAGGTGTCTGTGGCTTGCAGAAGACTTGGGGGCTGAAAATGCAAAGTTAGGCATCATAGGCATAAAAATACAGGATAGATGGAGAAGAAGACAGAGAAAAAGAGTCCTGTGCAGCCCAGCATAAAGAAATCAGAAGAGCAAGGACAAGCAAGGAAACTGAAGAGACACAGGGCAGGAGGGGAGTAAAGGGTTGAGGTGTCCTGCAAGGGCTAAAGAGACAGTGACCCCCCCAAGTTGAAGACGTTGTGACCCTCAGAACTTCAAGTGTGGCACAAGTGAACATGTTTCGTAACCATCCTGTGCCATTCTGCAGAGTTGAATCAACACTGTCTTCCAAGAGAAAGATAAAGTTCACGTTTGTCGTGTCTTGTTTAGCTAAGATGCCATCAAATAAAGCAAAATCACTGCTATATCAGGTATTCCGTTAACCGGAAATCTTAATAGCTGGCACAGAACGACCTGAACATAGTGCGGAATGCTGACATTAACTGTGGAAACATCACTTAAACCTGGATGCAACTTAACCATGGCAATATTATTTTATTCTTATCCCTTAAGAATAATACATGCTAGAGCTATAAACGGTGACCTGTAATAACATCAGTTTGGCAGATGACAGAGGGTAACGAATATTCACCTATTATGTGTCATAAGCCAAGTTAGCAATAATACATTGCTTACCACAACTGGTAACTGAACAAGCTCAAAGCTTGGAGTCATTATTATTTCTTTAATGTAACAAGTCTCTTTAAAAACATAAGTGACCAAAAAGAAAGTTTTTGAGGGTTTTAAATTTAAATATTTTAAATTTGATTTTAAAGTAACATATAAACTAATTCTAAATAAAAACCTAAAGTTAATTCATGTCAAATTAACTAGAATATAGCTAGAATTTAATAAAAGCCATTCATTTAAAAAATATATTAACTATTTTAATGTTGTATCTGAAAAGAACCCCCAAATATCATTTCTTCAACTCCCTTATCTAGAGAAAAGATTCAACCTCCTAAGACACAATGCTCTTTCATTGTCATTACTAAAGCTATATCCATGTTTAATAAAACACTTATTAATTCCTCCAAGACCATTTGGATTTCTTTGGAACTTATGAGGTGCCAGAAAATGGAATCTAAAAAGAGGTCAATAAGTTGGGTAGATGGACAAGTCAAATATAATGAATACTTTTGAGGCTACGGACTGCTCAATCTATACCTTGAGAACGATGTTCATTCAGATGCGTGCCCCACACCTGTCTTTCTACTTTGTCATTAATAATGTCACTTACAATTGAAACAAAAGTTCTGTTTTTGATTTATTCCCCTAAGGCCTACTCTTTGTCTAAACAGCACGTACTTTTTCAAAAAGAGAAATTAAGTTGAATTGATAGATTGGGTCTTCACAAAACCGCACTGATTACTAGCCAGTACCTTGGGACTTCTTGGCTTTTAAGTAATCAATCAATTGATTTTCAGTCTCTTAGCTTAAATGCTTGAAAGATAACTTGAAATGTATCATTTTCAGAATTATCTATATAAACATGACATATGTGATTCTCCAGACTTTAGCATGCCTTTCCTCTTCCAGGTATAATTGTTCTAAGTAATTGTTCTAAGCCCATTCTTTGCTTAGACAAGCCACGGAAAGCAAAACTTCTGTATTTCCTTGACTCTCAGTTACAAGAATTATAATGTACATCATTGTTTTATATACCACTTTCAATAACACTCTTGCCAATTTAAATGATACAGTGCTTGTCTATTCCTTAGTTTATAGTATTGAAAAGCTCTGGGAGATGCAGACATATCTGCTCCCTAATATCAAATTTACTCTCTCCACTATTTCTGTACCACTCTGCTTACACACAAACTTTTGTTTCCATGTCAAGTCATAATACCATCTCTCTGAAAACAACTTAGATGGCCACAAAGTTCAACACAGGTAGTACCAACAATGGACAGAACAGAACTGAAACAGCCTGAATAGATTTGACAAAGTTTGGCTGACAGCACAAAAAAAAAAAATAAACTTTGATGGCAGAACTAAGGTGACCACAGGGTAAGAGGATAGAAGGTTGGAACAAGGGTGGGTGGAGTCTTTTTTCTGACAAATAAAAATAAATGAAGGAAAACAACTCTGATGTTAAAAAAAAAAGCACAAAAACTTTTTGAGAGAAATTTTAACAATAATGTAAAACTCACTCTAATGTTTCCAATTGCCTCCGCAATTGAATATCTATATGCTAAAAAAAAAAAGACTCTGGAAGTTAAAATCTCCATGACCTTAATTAGACAGATTTCTTAGGTATAAAATCAAAATCCTAAGCTACAAAATCAAAAGTTATAAGGCATCACCAAAATTATGAGTTTCTTGTCTTCAAAAGTCACAGTTAAGAGAATGGAAAAACAAACTACACATTGGGAGGAAATATCAGCAAATCATATTTCTGATAAAAGACTTGAATATAAAAAACAAAGAATTCTTCAAAAAGATGTACAAAGGGGCTCAGCATCATCAGGTGTCAGGGAAACGCAAACCCAAAGCACAATGAGATACTACTTCACACCCACTAGGACACTAACATCAGCAAAATGGACAAACTCAAATGACAAGGAAGCAAAGCAACCAGAAAGCTCACCAATTCCTGGTGGGAATGCAAAACATACGGTCATTCTGAAAACTGGCGGGACTGTTCCTAAAAAGTCAAAAACACACTTATTATGCAATCTGGCAATCCCATCGCTCATTACTTACTCACTGTGGAGTGAAATGAAAACCGATGTTCACACACACACACACACACACACACACACACAAACGGGTAGGCAGATGCTCACAGTGACTTCATTCACAACTGTCAGAAATTAGAAGTGACTGAAAAGCACCTGTAGCGAAACGGTCCCTTCTGTAAATGGGAAGACTACTTGGCAATAAAAAAGGAAGACTACTCCTTCATACCGCAGATGGGTGGTGCTCATAGGCATCACACCACGGGAAAGAAATCCTATTTTAAGGACTCTACCCAGGATTGCACTGACATGACATGCTTGCAATAGGGACAGACATAAATCGGGGGTTCTTCAAGGGAGGATCTGGCTACAAAGGGGTATAAGGCAAGAGCTAACAGATGATGGAACTCTTCTCTATCTCATCATGGCAGAAGCACGACCAGGCATTTGTCAAAAGCTATAAAACTCTATACTAAAACATGAATTTTAATGAATATAAATCACCCATCTTTTAGACAACATTCATGCTAAATTAGAAAAATAATGACTTCAAATTAAAAGGAAAACATATTTTGCTTAGTTCAACCTAAAATAAACAACAGCAGCCACCTTGGGGTACCCTTATAGAAGAATTCTTTTAAAGTTTTATTTATTTATGCATAAAAGAACTGGATTACAGGCCAGAATGTGGGAGGTGAGAGGACTCACCAGAGACAGAGTGGGGAGCAGAACAGGTGGAGTACTGTACTACACTGTTGAGGGGAGCAGCAGAAGACAGGAGAGGTCTGCTGTGCCCTGAGGGTCATTCCCTGGCCGGGGGTCGAATTTGTGCTGCGGTGGCTGCCAACAGCTTCATAGTGTGGCACACTCTAACCTGTTGTGCCAGCAGGAAGGGCCCATATAACAATTTCAAGAGGCTTAATATATTTTTTCAGGAAAGATCATGTCCAGAGTAAGTACAAGTAACATAAACCAGTAATGCAATTTTTTGCATTGTAATCTGAGCTGCAAATGTCCCTGTTTATGAAAAAGTTGACCTTCTGACTAATTCTGTGAAACAGTTGCTTGGTTTACATGGGAAACGCTGGCTCCATGGAGCAGGGACTATATGCCACGGCACCAGGTAAGTGGCAGAACAGGGCATGACTCAACCACAGTAACCAAACACACCAAAACTTTTGTTAGAATTTGAGAGTTCAGGGCCCTCCGTGGTGGCGCAATGGGTTAGGACACAGCACTGCAATGGATGAGGCTGCAGCTGTTTCAGTATGAATTCGATCCCTGCTGAGGGAGTGACCCACCTGGTGCAGCAGACCTCTCCTGTCTCACCTGCTGCTCCTCTCAGCAGTGTACTTCATTGATCTGCCTGTTCTGCCCCCCGCTCTGTCTCTGGTGAATCATCTCAACCCCTGCACCTCTGGCCTGTACCCCAGTTCTGTATACATAAATAAATACATCTTTAAAAAAAAAAAGAATTTGGAATTTGAGAATTCCATTTCAGAATATCCATACATTTCTATTTTCTTAATAACAATTGAGTTAAAATCGTTACTACCACTGTTGTTTTCTCCATGCTTATTTTTGAACATGATATGTGCTGGCATTTTCTGAAATGAAAGAAGGAAGCTAGAAAATTTAAATCACTGTCAAGATACATGTGACTTTTATGCATTAGTAACTGCTTTGCCGTCCACTCTAATGATTTCACAGCTCTGACTTCCACGATATTTTCTCTCATTCTTGATGATGTTCTGAGATAATTGTTGCTTAAAACATGTAAACATTTTAGTCATTAAAAAAAAAACAGGAATGGGTTATTCTTTTAATTAGTTGTTTTACTGATATATTTTACAGTCATTCTTCAGCTGTATGCAACGTGTGCTTTCTCCTCTCAGCTGATGTCTCCGTGAAACTCCCAGCACTAAGCCACCTATGCACTGTCACCAAAGTCCCTTCTTCAGAGCTAGTATTCAAGTTCACTTTCTCCCCCAAACCATTGTATTTATTTAGACCTAAAACATTTTAGGTAGGGAGAGATCAAAAAAATAGGAACAACCAAAAGTAATGTTATTATGAAGAATTTCACTAGACAAAGTTAAAGTTTTGTGGATAAGCCAGATGAGAAATTTGAAAATCTAGGCCAACACTTCCATGTTTCTACCACGTAATATGTCAGCTCAGTCCAGCCTCTGGCTCTCTGGCTCTGGGCTTCTTCAACTGTAAAATGGGGGGCTGGATTAGGTTTTTAAAACAGGCGGCCAATAGCAAATTAAATATGCAAATATTGATCTGATATAGTACCAGACAAAATTTAGGATGTACTTAGGATGATTTCTTGGAGAAATTCACTATTGCCTTTGTACTCAAGGAAACAAACATGCCAAGGCCTAAGTTGTATAGATATTCTGAAGTGGAACTGAATTCTCAATTATCATGACATCTTTTCAAATGAACTGCAGATGACGTGCTGATTAAACACAGGATGATTGAGGCCCAGCCTGCCTAGAGGATGGTGACCTTCATAGCCAGCGAGCTGGCATTTAGCAGCATCCTGCCTCCTTTGCCCAGAGGACATTAAGATGGAAGAACCCCTTGTGTTTGCCTATGCCTCTTTTCACCACTCCAGCTGCTGTGGAGGTTCCTGCCAGCCACCATAATGGCCAGCCTTGAGGGCTCTGCTGTATGTGTTCATGTCTAACCAGGCTTCCTGGATTACTTTTCAGCCCCTGAGTTTTGAAAGCAAGAAAAGCTACACCTTGAAAGTGGAGGGAGCCAACCCTCACCTAGAGATGCGTTTTCTGAGCCTGGGTCCGTTTCAGGACACCACCACGGTGCACATCAGTGTGGAAGATGTGGATGAACCACCTGTGTTTGAACCTGGCTTTTATTTCGTGGAGGTACCTGAGGACGTGGCGATTGGAACGACAATACAGATCATTTCTGCCAAGGACCCAGATGTGACCAACAACTCAATCAGGTTTTTTCATAAATTTCACCTTTTCCTTGTTTCCTGGAATCTTCCCTTCCCTTGAATATAATTTAACTGTCTCCCTTTGTTTCTTGCATCTCTGGAGATTCTCCTGTCTCTTTAAGCTCTTTCTATTCAAACTGCATGGCCTCTTCGTGTTACTTACAAATATCATTATGTCTGTAGTTCACTTTCAGACGTTCATACACACACATATTTCTCAATCACAGTCCTACTGACATTTCCAGTTGGGTCATTCCTTGTTGTAGGGCTATGGTATATACGTTGTACAATGTTAGCAACATCTCTGGCCTCTACCCACTAAATGCCACTAGCACCCTTGAGTCGTGGCAACCTAAAATGTCCCCAGATACTGGAAAATGTCAGGGAGGGTGCAAAATCACCTCAAGTTAAAAACCACCAATTGAGATAAAGCAAAGACACGTAGATATCAAAACACTGATACCATAAAAATGTTGGATCTTAGTGGTGAATATGAAACTTTTAATTTTTATGATGTTTGTTTTCAAAATGACATTCAATACCTATCTCCTTGCATTATACAAAGAACAATACTTTACCGTCCATAGACTATAGAAAGGCAAAGAAACTACTGCTGTGCTCAATGGCTTCCAGGCCCTGTAAACTGGCCAAACGGGACTTTCTACCTATTGCAAATCCGCACATAGGTCTAGGACACTCTGAAGCATATTTTGAGCTAAAAGATCCCAACCAAGCTGCATCCATCTCAAAGCAGGGAGGAGGGCTGCTTACATTTGCTATCAACTCTGGAGCCAACATGCAAACAGCTGGCAGCAGGTTGACACTTCAGCCTTCCAGAGCAATAGCCAAGCTTCTGAAGCTCCACACAAAGGATCTGGATTCCAAAGCTGTCTGAGACCATCTGTCGCATTAACTGTTCAAAGCCACAGTCAAATGGGCCTGGGGTTTTAGTGTGGATAACACTCTTTAAGCACACCCCAATTTATCAAATGCCTTTTCTGTCAGCAGGCTAGTTCCCTCACCTGAAACTATTTTGCACTTAATGAAAATGTGCTTTTGCAGTTCAACTAGCATATTCTCTCCTGAGAATATCCATACTGGAGAAAATGGGCTTGTTCTACCCAATTAGAAAACATCTTACATCTTCAGGCATTAAGCTAAATAAAATGACTTTGCTTGAATTCTGGTATCTGATTTTCAGAAGGCAACTAATCTTTCTGTTATGAGTTACGACAACTTTATTGCAATGCTACCTCAACCCCAAGTTTTTTAGTCAAAGGTGAAAGATTTATTCAATCTGAATAAATCAGTGTATAACCTTAAGCTTTTTTTTTTAAAGATTTATTTATTTATTAGTACAGAACTGGGGTACAGGTCAGAGATGCAGAGGGTGAGAGGATTCACCAGAGACAGAGTGGGGTGCAGAACAGGCAGATCCACGAAGTACACTGCTGAGGGGAGCAGCGGGCGGGTCAGGAGAGGTCTGCCACGCCATGTGGTCACCTCCGGGGCAGGCGGGAATCAAACTCATGTGGAAGTGGCTTTAGCTTCTTAGTGCTGTGCTTTAACCCGCTGCGCCACCAGGGAGGGCCCATAACCTTAAGCTTTTTAAATGTGTAACAGGAGGGGAAGAATTTAATATAACCATATTACCCCCAAAACAGCCACGACATAAATGAAACAGATTCTATTTAAATTTATATACTCAGAAACCAAGGTCTAGATCTCTCCTGATCAATTTATCTATTCATTGGAGAAGACATTGTAAGGAAACATTTAAGAGAGCAAAAATTTATGAGGGGAAATGTTTCAAATAAAGCAAACACAACCCTGAAAAAAATCAGATTCTATTTCCAAAAAAATCTATCCGAATACCCAGGAAACTTCCATACTACCTGTTCAGTTCTGACTCTGGGCTCCTCCATGGTAGCATTAGAAACAGCGGCCTGTGAGAAATCACACTACTGTGTGATAAACTAAAGAGACTGAACCCAGATGACAACACACACACACAACCAAGAGTCTATCTGCAGTATTCAGAACTAAAGCTATTAACTCAAGACATCCAAAATGAAGGAGAAAACCAGCAGGCCCAGACTCACCAGCAGGAGCAAAGGGAGATACAGAAAATGGAGGCGTCCTGCCTGCCTGCCTGGTTAACAGAAATGCTGCTTCAGATGACCGGTCAGTTGAAAACTCTGTTGGGCGACATGGCATCGCACGTCCATAATGAAGTCCTGTCTGTCTGATAGGTCCTGATCAGGAGAAATCTGGGCGTGAACAGGCAACAGGCTAGAGGCACAGGAATTACCCTGGGGAGGGCTGCAGGGCCCAGGAGAGGGAATGAAAGAAGGAAAGAGCTATAGGCCTGGAGTGTTCAGGTACAGGGGCAGAGCAGAATCTGCTTACCACCACAGGAGCAATTCTCCCTATCTGTCTCCATGCAAAGAGGGAGCAACATTGAATTTGCCACATAAAGGTAGCATGGTTAGCAGAATCTGCAGGGACAAGGGTGTGTCCCAGAACCACCCTGGACTTGCAGTGGTAAAAGCATCTAAAAGTCAAATCTCTATCACTTCATAAGCTGACTTGGAAATGACTGTCCTATGCTATCTTTCCCCCAAATTGCTTATAGTATCCTTCTTTTTCCAAGACAGTTATTTTCTTGTAACAAAATTTGCATGTTAGCAAATTTCTAATTTCTAATTCATTTCTGCATTTTCACCACAAAAAAAAGGAAACAAAATTTACATTCCTAGAAAGAAAATGCATAATAGCCCCCCACCCCCCAAAAAAAAAATTTAAAAAAACGATCACCTGAAGACAAAATGCTAGGGATAAAATGCAGCCCTCCCCAGGGTAATTCCTGTGCCTCTAGCCATCTAATTTTTTAAACATTTTTAGAGCTTTTATAATCTTTCTAGAAAACTGGTCATCACTACTAGTAAATCCCAAAATTAAGGCTCCAATCTTGGGATCCCCTAAATTTTTAATAAATGCTCAAGGAATTTCTGGCATGCCAGCATCAGAAGCATTTGGCAACTGGAGTAGGTTTCTGCTGGTGTGGAAATGGCCTGCTCTCCTGCGCCATCCTAAGGTGACTTCCACGTAGGTGACTTCCACGTAGGTGACTTCCCAGAAAGTGCCCCACTCCCAAATTCCGAGAACGTGCCCCACCAAGCAGAAGAGCAGGGAGCCTCGTGAACACCAGTTTTGTGTGTCAGCGCTGGCCAAGTCTACCCCTGTGAGGTGAGACTGTCCATACTCCAGCTACAGAACGAACACCCACCCACACAATCACTAGGTGCCCCAATGCTCTCACTTCCCATCTGTGGCTACACTTTTCATTTGTTCTCCTGCCTTCTGGAAACTGGCCCAGCCTCCCAGTCCGAAAACTGAATGCTACAATTGCTGCAATTCAGGCCTTGGGTGGAAAATAGGAAAGGGATTCTGCTGGATGAGGGGCCTCTCTGAAGCTGGCACTCAGTGTTACCGCAGAATGTGTCACCAGATACAGCATGGTCAGGGTCCGGCCAGCTAGTTACTCCTATTACTCCAGCTCCACACCAACTGCCGCATTTACTACAGCGCTGTAGGTTTGAGTCATGGGCCTCTTCTCCCCTCAGCATCATGCCCAAGCCTGGAGAGCTGGTGCCAATGACTGGCATCTCTCCTGGGTGGGGACTGAAAGAAGAGCCTGCCATGAGTCACCCAGCATTCTTCTCTCTATGCTAAAAAGTCACCGTTTCAAATGGCCACTAAACCTTAAGGCACCAATTGAGCCCAGGGAAAAAATAATGCTCCAGTTAATTTTCGATGAACTTTGTAGGTATGTGTTTGCTTGTTATTAATATGTCAACTGTTTTCTGTCACAGCTAAATCTAGCTTAAAGAAGAAATCCAGTTTTGTTTCTTCAATCGCGTACATTTTGTTTCTTTAATCGTGTACATTCTGGTTTGGGAATATAGCCATTGGTTCTGGTTTGGCTCAGGAAGCCGATGGGACTGCCTGGGGCCGGCTCCCAGCTGTGTGACCTTGGGCAAAGGACACAACCTCTCCATGCCTCAGTGTCCTCAACTGTAAAGTGGGGATAACAGCACCTTCCTCGAAGGGTTATTGTAAGGATTCAATGAGTCGTTATCTGTGACCTGTACCAAGCAGTGCCTGGCTCCAGTGGGTCTCTATTAAGTGGGATCACAAGCAGAGAGAGGCATTAATTTGCTTCTTGAGACCTCCTCACTCTTTAGACTCGTAACTGAAATGATTCTAATGTCTCTAACCCTTATTGGTCACCTTTTAATTCCTCACTCTCTGAACAGCCATCCTGAATCTCTGCAGAAAAAACACTTTATCAAATAATATATATGTATGTATGTATGTATGTATGTGTATATATGTATATATATGTATGTGTGTGCTATGAATTAAGTACATGGTAAAATCCCCGGTATTCAATATATGGCAGCTAGGATAATTACTGATCTTTACCAAGGGCTACACAAGGTTTTCAAAATGGGTTTAATCAGGGCTACATGTCAAAATCCCTAGAAAGGGTTTTAAATATGCAGATGTCTAAATCTTCCCCCGCACATGAATCTCCCAAGAGACCAGGTGAGTTCACACAGAAAGTCAGATTGCCAATTCAGATTCAGAACAGGAATTAACAATGTGCCCAGGACCCAGAACTGATACCTCAGAGGATACGGACAATGACCACATATGCGCCAAGCACTCTTTCCCTGCCGAGTAGGACGCCATCAAGTGCAAGTGCCTGTACGTAGCCTTCTTTCCCAGTAAGGACACGCACCGGTCAACACCAACATAATGGTGTAAGCAATGGGTAAAGCGCATTGGACAGAAGGAATCATTTGGGTTATGGGACATCTGCCTTTATACCCCATTAATTGTATGATGCACATATTTTCCTGCAAGCTGTGCCCTATAAATTTGTAAATTACAGATTTATTTACAATAAGCAACCTAGACAGACCTGGCTCAGCCTGCTAAGTGTATTCAATAGAAAAGAATTCTCCCACTAGTCAGTGAATACCATTATTGTATTTGCCAGAGGATTGGTCATTAGCGTCTTTGCAAAAGGCTAGATACAAATCTTTCCTTCTCATAGGCGATACTAATTATGAGGACTAGGACCACTGAACTCTATCTTTCCCACTTCCAATTTAGCATTTTATGCATTATTTGAATAGAATTTGTTTGGAACAAAAATATGAAAGGGTTGATAACAGTGTCCAAAAAATTCCAAGATAATTTTAGGTTTTAAATAGCTGCAATTGATCCTTACATCACATATAACTTTCCTGCAGTTATCAATTTTTTGTAGTTAGATTTTTGTTTGGTTGGGTTTTTTCATGGGGGCAGGGGCTTGAATTTGCTAAAATCACAAAGGTAGTCATCTAACTACCCTAACCCTAGACCTACTTCACACAATTGACCCTCAATTCTTTCATGCAAGACTCTGAACTATGTTTATCCAAATAAAATGATGCATTTGTGTTTTTGCAGATATTCCATTGACAGAAGCAGCGACCCTGGAAGATTCTTCTATGTTGACATCACAACAGGTGCCCTGATGACTGCGAGACCTCTTGACCGGGAAGAGTTTTCCTGGCACAATATCACAGTCCTTGCTATGGAAATGAGTAAGTGACACAATGAGCTGGTCTCTGTACAGTGTCTGACAGATGTATGCATTGTAGAAAGTGAAGCTTATTGGAAAAAATAAATTCTTTATAGGAAGCAGCAGAAAAACATGGCTTAAGTATGTCAGTGATGCTCCTGTCCACCTAGGCCTCTACTAAGAAATGAAAGTAATCAAAAGTAGTTTTAAAAAAAAATTCTTAAGGAGCTAGACTTTTTTATATCAGGGGAGGGGTGATTCTTGGAAGCCTAAGAGGTTTTAATCTTTAATAAGGTTGGGAATGCACATATAGTATAGAAGATTATTACTGGATGAAAGGAAGCATTTATAATATAACATCCTTATTGTACACACAAATACACATAAGACAGACAAGAAGTCAATGCCTCTTACAATAAAAGACAGATTTACTGATACAATAAACTTATATGGAACCAAAAGTAAAAATTAGACTAACATATTTATTATAAAGTTAACAAAAATAATATATAATGCTAGGCTCATCCATTTTTTTTTTATAACAATGACGGTAAAAGTCTAAAGAAATGGCAGACCCCGCTGTGTTAACAAAAGTATACACAGTCAGTCAGGAGGACAGACAGACACTCTCTTGTATGAAGATTGTCCAAATTATTCATACTTTTTCTCTCAAGAATTCTGCTTCTAAAGATTATCTTCAGAAAATAACCACAGATATCAACAAAGATTTACATATCAAAATGTCCAATACCATGTTATTTCAAAATATTAAGGGAATGGAATTATCTAAATGTCTAATAATAGACTGACTGGACAAATTATAGTATAGCCATCAGGTAAAGGAGATTATCATAAAGCTATTATCACCCAAGCTTTCAAGGGATCATCTTGCCCTAAAAATTAAATTCTGAATCCAATTTTTTTTTTTTTTTTTGCTTAACTGCAATGTGTGTGTGTGTCGATATACGTGTGTATAACTCCACCTTTTGGAGCACATATGTACTATTCCAGAGATCATACAGTGAATCTCTCTGGTGGTAGGACTGAGGCTCATAGTTAGCCTCAGATTTTTCTGGAATGTTCATTATTCACTTTATAAACAAGTACCACTGTCACAACAGAAAGTCATTCAAATATGTCGGCACTTTTGGTAACCACACAATAGAAACAGGAGAGAAACATGGTAGACCACAGATATTTTTGAGAAAGAAAAGAAGAGATGGAGCAGAAGAATAAGGCATTCCAGGATTTAATAAAAATTATTTACTGAGAGTAATTCCTGTGTCTTACAATTTCTATTTTGTCTTCTTGGGATGATGACTAAAACAGAACAAGCCCGGAGGGACACTGCTCATACTATAAAACTGTCTTTGGGTGACAGTATCAAGCAAAAGACAGAGCATAGGGACACATTTCCCCCTGAGGAACGATGAGTGACTTCTGCCTCAGCCAAAGATAGGGATTTGGGGCCTATTTGATCCGTACCATCTCCCTAGTCCCTGAGCAGAAATAAATGTGCAGTGTTATCTGTATTCCAGTGAATAACTTGAAACCTTTTGAAACAGAATTCAAAGAACTGATTATTCTACAGGAAAAAAGCCAAGCAATGCCACACAGTATGCATTCGATTAGAAACGGGCTGTTTTCAAGCCTGGAATACAGAGTTGACCTGCCTTTAATTCCAGCAGCTGAAGCATGAGCCAAGTGAGAGGTTCAAAACCTCTTTTTAAGATTCATTTTGTGATACCGGCTCCCCACGGTGTCTCCCCCACCCCCACGCCCAGCCTCCTGCCACACACCTCTGTTCTGGCCACTCTCTTCACAGGCGACACACGCAGCCTGTGCTCGTGTTCCCACTTCCTTCCCTGCGTTTTGCCTTTTCCTTTAACAATCAGACCACTGGGTAAACACGTGTGCCAGCTCAGAGCCGCTGTCTTGCATTACCTGGACCCTCACCTTTGATCTTCTTTGTGCTCTCTTTAGACAACCCTTCCCAGGTTGGAAGTGTTTCTGTCACAATCAAAGTCTTAGATGTGAATGACAATGCTCCCGAGTTCCCCAGATTCTATGAAGCTTTTGTCTGTGAGAATGCCAAAGCCGGGCAGGTAAGGCAGCCTGTGAGGCATGCACCTTGGTTAACTCCACATCAGGAAACAATTGTTACAACAGGCCAATTTTGCCATCAAAGACAGTTAAACTAAGTTTACGAAAGAGTCCCCAACCCCAACTTGTGCATATCACATCACAACCTTTTACTTGTTAAGTCAACTCTCTGGGGCTGTTTGTTAGTGGTGTCAGCAACAGCGTGAAGCGGCAGCGTCCAGTGCACAGGCAGGCTCTCCGTGACAGGGAGCTGCCTCCCTTGTCACTCAGGTGTACAGAATCACTGGGTCCTGGAAGGGTGGGGCGACGAAGGTCAGGAAAAGAGTCAGTCTTGTCTTTACCCCAGTGTAGCACTAATCCCTGGGGATACTGGCTGTAGAGAAAGCTTATTTTGTGTGTCTTCCCATCTCCCGCCCTTAATTTCTGGCAGGGTTCCTGCTTAAGGAACCCTGCCTTATTCTCAAAGTGCTTTGTTACCTAGAAGCCATCTAGTCCATCCCCCCTCAATCTAAACCCCTGTTTTCTTGGAATTGCTCACATCACATTAGGCAAGGTTTGAGAGGGAAAGAATCTGAAGGAACAAATGTGAAATATTGTAACTCCACACTCTTTGAACATGTCTGCACATTTTTGAAGTATGTTTTTAATCGAAATAAGTATTTGGCTGATCGATTCCAAAGTGCTGTAATTGAGGAACATCTGAAACTCTTCTTAGTGTGGCCCTGCAGGACTATGTCAGCCTGTGGCTCCCCCCGTGAACCCCCCTCCGCGCCACACGTCACATACCACTGCCTGCTTCTGATCTCTACCTATGACCTGCCGGGTTCCCCAACAGCCCTAACTAATTTCCCCTGGAGTATGTCCTGTGGTGCTTTGGACTCTGATGCAAGGGGAAAAGGTCAGGATAGTTTAAATGTGCAAGCTGAGGGTGGGAAGTGTGTATTTTTAAGGCAGAAGCCATGCCATGTTAACACGGCCTCTGGCTGTAAGCTTTTGCTTTCACAACTCCCTCACCTGAAACCTAACCCCAGCATCTTGCTGCACAACCAAAGCTTCTGACTCAACACATCTCTACCATCCTACTCTGGCAAAGCGAAAAAAGATTCCAGTCCTCAAAAGAAAAGTTGTATCTTATAGTGCTTCTTATCTATACTCAGCGTCCACTAACTCTGGAAACTTGAGGCAATGAAAACACTCCTCAAAAATGTCCACAAGTCTAGGATAATTCTTACTTTCATATCTATTGAATTCCCTGTCTAGAAAGCTCTGAAATACTATGCAGCCCAGAAAAGTTATAAATAAGACTTTACAGTGTAATGAACCGTGTCATTTTAAGGCGTATGAAAACTTCCTGTGTGTGTTTGTGGTTCTGCATTGTAAACTGCAGTTGGGAAGGCAGATACACAACTAGCAACAGTTTCTTAGTTTCTCTGCTTAGCTGAATTTAGAGTGAGGCGGTGTGTGTCTTTATTTTGATAATATTTTCTGTTATACAATCACAGATTGTATAAGATTCTGTTTTATGTAAGATGATAACATGAAAAATATGTATCCTGTGACAAAGGCTTATGTTTAATCTGTCATATGAAGAGGGTGCTAAGTAGCACAGTCGATCAACCTCCCCACCCAAAAACATGAAGTGTTTCCTTTCTTCAAGGGTTTCAAAATAGGAGTTGCATTTGAAGGTGACAGTGATTTAACCACATCGTTTACGTTTAGAGCAAACCGAGGCACCCCTCCTAAATACATCTTTTAATGGCCTGCTACCCAGTCCTTCGAAGAAAAGCTAAAGTGTTATTGAAAGTTCAGATCGGGAGCCAAAAGTCCGTCTTATTTATCATCTTTAGCCCACGGGACTGGGAAGCCTGCCCTTCAGTGTTATTTCTGGACCATATTTAAAGGCGTTCAAAGCACACAGCCCAGGCGGCATGTCTGGGTCCCTAAGGAGCACGACATGGACACTGCAGCCGGGGTTGCTACTGCCAAGTCAGGAGAGGGGCTGTGAAACCTGCAGAAGAATCAGACCACACACCCTGGAGCAGAAGGAAGCCTGCCAGCCAGAACAGCGGTGCAAGCAGGGCTGAGGAAGAAGCCTGACCTGCTGGGAGAGAGAGTGTGGGGAGTGGGCCGCGCCCCGGCCCCAGGCCCAGAGGGGAGAGCCCTCACTGGCCCGGCCTGCAAGGCTCTGGTTAACCAACAGCGCTCACAGCAGGGCCCAGCTCAGCAATGCAGTGACCGGTTTCACAGGTCGCATGTTCCGAAATGACACCACCAACTGGCGTCACACATAATCACCTACTTGCAGGCTTCAGCAAGAAATATGCTCCGGTGTCATGTGTACACGTTTGGCAAGACCAGCCAGGATCTGTCTTGGCGGGGTGGGGTGACAGGCTGGCCTTGGTGTAGAAACACCAGTCCGCAGCCAGACTGAGGGGCAAGTTCATGGTCCGTCTGGCCTGGCCTTGACCTTTATTACAATTCTGTCTCTCCGATGGCTAGTCCGCAGTAGCCAGCTGCCAGAGAGGCTGTCCAGCAGGCGTCCCCAGAGGGGGATACTAAGGAGTACCGTGGAGCCTAGGTCCTTGGAAGGAAAGGGCCTTTGCAGGGCTGGGCAAAAGGCGCGCAGCTGCGATCCAGACCCGCTAACAGCCTCCGATGACGTCACAGCTCTCTAGAACCAAATGGAGCTGGGAGGCCAGGCCTTTAAGCTATCACGTGGGCCACTGGGCGTGGGCTGCCCCTGGAAAGATGGGATGCCTGTGAGTGGTGACATTCAGCAACCCAGGCAATCCCCAGGAGCTGAGAAGAGAGGGCTGGGCATCAAGGCCTTCATCGAAGGCAAATCTAAGCAACACAGCATCCACCGAATGGCCCGTGGCTGGGGCACCCCCGCCCCGTTATTTAATCAGCAGCCTACTGGGAGGGAAGCATAACTTCCTTAATCTACAGATGAAGATGTACAAGCTGCGCAGCCCACTGGGCCCCCACCCTGACCTCTGATTGCCAGCGGCCCTCCTGACAGCACCACCATATCTGGAGCTTAACAGCAGAACGTGGCACTTGCAGGGTCACACCCAAGAGAGGTGGGCGAGGTCTGTGTTACTGGTTGGTTAGGGGAGTAAACACGTGCAAAGCAGACCACCCTCTTGGCCCTCTTCTATCTCCCTTCCCCGGGGCCAGCTGTGTCCTCTGCGCGGCTCTCTCTGGCAGCTGCTCACTGTGGCCTTCAGAGCCCTCACGGCAACTTGCTACACTGAAAAGCATCAGGAGAGAGGCAGGAAGTCTCCTCAGCCAAAAGAGCTCAATCAGCAGCTTCTTCCATCTTGATCTCCCCAGCCCACGCCTTGCTTGACTCCATGCTCCTCAGTATATCCCACCTTGGGGGTCTTCTGCTCTATACCACGTCTCAGGCCCCTTCCTGCCGACTGCCCCACGCTTCCATCACCCTGACACAGTCAATGCTGGCGTGTGTGCTTACATCCCCGCCAGGTGTTTTCAGATAGGGGCTTCTCAAAGATACAATCTGATCTTGAAATGTTAACCCAAAAGTGGGGTCAAATAGGTGGGGGGGGGGCAACAAATTGGGAGACAAGTAGCATTTTCTGACACCCTTCAGTGCTTTTCACTCAGTCTTCTATTCACCTGGGCCCCGCGTGGGGGCTGGTGTGTGAGAGTCCATTGTTGACGTTTCCTCTGAGGAATTTAGGTAACATCTACCCTGAGCCTGTCAGTGTGCTCGGGCCCAACAAAAACTCAAACCCAGCCCTGGGTTGTGTGATGGCCTGGAGCCTTTCCAGGTAAGTTTCACCATGGCCTGCTTATGATGAAAAACAATGTGCTAGTGGAGTTCACTGGGCCCTGAAGCTTTTTCTTTTGGCTCCAACTCCTGATTTCATGCCCTTCTCTCAGCTGATCCAGACGGTGAGTGCGGTCGACCAAGATGACCCTCGCAGCGGTCAACACTTCTACTACAGCTTGGCTCCTGAGGCTGCAAACAACCCCAACTTCACAGTCAGGGACAACCAAGGTAATCAGGTGGCTATAGCTGGCTGGGGGTGCTTCTGCACATCTTGGGTTAGATACTTCTTGTTACTACACCATGCAGTGTCAAAGGTTACCTGCTCTGTAACGGCAGGGAAGCAGTGTTGCAAATCTGCTGCTCTGCTTGAGAATGTCCAGGATAAAGAATGTCCTCTGCTGATTCTGAAACTTTTATTCAATGGTTCACAAATGGTTTGCGTGCTTGCTCTGACCACCGCCCAGGGCAAGCAGCAAAAGCCTTCCTTCATCCCAGACAGCAGCCATGTTTCCATAGGAAGCATCTGAGCTGACAAAAGGGAACTATATGAAGAGAAAAAGCTGAGGGGGTATTTCTAAGAAGGACAAGGGCTAAAGAGCTACCAGAATAAAAGGCAGACAAAGGCTAAGTAATTGCAAGGAGAAATGCAGCCCACAGAGTAGTTTCAACAAGGAAACAATTTATTACTTTAGGATGATTTACAAACATGCCTCCCGGTGGGGGTCCCTAGTACACAATGTGCTCCCCATTATAACTTTGCTGCTGTGGAACCCTAGATCCTTCTTCAGGGGACCAGCTAAGGGGTTAGACCTACCACACCTCACTGGACAGACAGGAGGGATTTGTTCTCTAGCCAGATGATTTTCAAAGTTAGAGCAAGTGAATAGTTTAAATCTGTGGCGCCAACCATTTCTTTTGCTATCTTGGCCACAAACTTGCCATCTGACCTTGGGAAAGGTCTGCTCTGGACCAAGCAGTCTCATTTTCATGCCAATTCTGTAACATGACCACTTCCCAACAATCTAAACAAAGAGTGACAAAATGTCACCAACAGGGAAGCCTGGTCTTAGTCTCAAACATCAATTATTTGAGATGTAAAGTATCAATGCCACCCATGATACTCTTCTGCTATTAAACTTGTTGAGTCTCAAAGGTGTGTTCTTCTAAATGAAAAGCATTATTTATACATATAAAAACTAGGGTATAGGGGGTAAGAGGACTCACCAGAGTGGGGAGCAAAACAGGCAGATCCAGTGAACTACACTGTTCAGGGGAACACGGGCAGGTCCCGAGAGGCTGCTGCACCATGGGGGTCAGCTCCCTGGGGGCGCGGGGGAGGGCCTGAACTCCTGCGGCAGTGGCTGCAGGCAGCCTCACAGTGTGGCGCTTTAACCCACTGCACCACAGGGAGGGACATGCCTTCACTCTCCTACATGGAATCATAACATTGCTCTGATAATTCTGGAGGGGCAAACTAAATTATAAAAACAGAAGTACTGGAATCAAATGTCTCAGGATTTTTATCAGGTCAAATTTTGAACTGCTCCTTCACCTGCCTCACAGGGAAGCTCTTTCCTACAAAACATGCTGTTCGCCCCTACAGAAATGGTTTCAAAATGGAAACCAAGGCAGGGAACCAGCACACCAGACAGTTTCTTCAAATGTTTAGCTAAGAATTACTATGATCCTTCTACTCTGCCAGAAGCAGTACACAAACAACATGGAGTGAAAATGCTACAAATTTCTTGAAGATGACTTTGGTTCCAATTCATGGGATCGCTACTAGAAAAGATGAGCAGTGGAACATGAGCAGTACAAAAAGAAATGACTCCGCTCTTGGAAGGTTTCCCAAAACAGAAGTCAGCATATCTTCAACAGAAAGAATGAGCTCTACCTCATGGTGACAGCTCGCCCCACCAGGCTCATTTTTAAAAACTGACAAACATGATACTTGAGTTTACTGGCAAGCCCCCAACTCCTGAGCCCAAAGCATGTTCCCCTTTTATGAGCACAACAGGACACTCTTCAAGGAAAGGCTTTTCTTACTTTTTATCCCCAAATTAACAGGAAAAGGATGGTGCATCATACTTTACAGTTTCAAATGTACTTTTCCACACTTTGCTTTACTTGGTAGTTTTAATAATCCTGTGAGAGGTTTGAAGAAGTTACTAACTCCGCAGATGCTCATTATCTTGTCTGATAAAACAAGATAAGAAAGCAAGTGGCTCAAGATCAATGACTAAACATTAAGGCTGGGACTGGAACCAGGGCATTTTAGACGCACACACAAAGTTTTCTGTCACCTTGAAACAAATACTGTTTTCAAATGGGCCCCAGAGCCCTCGCTAGCATACTCAACAAAATCCCCCAAATGACAATG